CAGTAACGCGTTACTAAGTAATGCGTTACTGCCCAACACTGCTGATGAACAGCCTGATGGACAGTTTTCATTAGCAATCTGTATAATTCATCATAATACCTGCTGGCTGTGAGCGACTGGCAGGCTATTTCATTTGGCCCAATGTTTCATCTCATTTTAAGAGCACCATGACAGAGACAACTAAATCTTGTAGAAGAAATATAATGTCAACAACCAGATATCATTTAATGGCGCTATATTAGCAAAATAATTACCCAAGTCTATCACGGTACTACTCTGGCAATACCATCATGTTTTGACGTCTTCAAAAGTATTCTTTGAAATACCTTGGTGTACCATGTACACATGGTATTTCCATGGTATATGAACATGGTGAAACAGGATAATGTTAAACTATGGTACTTTAAAATATACGGAAATTCAAGTACCATGGTATTTAAATGTACCCATGTAGTAACATGGTAGTTTTTGGTACTTTTTTGAATGAAGTGGTTCAGTACTGTGAAAGTCTCTGGATTTTGGATGTGGTCTTACCTTAAAGTAACTTTAAATACTTCCATACTTACTTTTTAAGCATAATGAAAAATATAGCCATTGGTGCGGTTGAGGAGTGAGGTGCAGTTATCAAGGTGAAAGAAACCCAAAATTTGACTTAAACATTTAGTTTAAACACTATTTAGGATTCCTTGTTGTTTCAGTACTCACAAGCGATGATGTTGCCGTAGCGATTCTTGTTGCGGTTTTCATCCTTCTTGGCAGTTTCCCACGGTGCCGTTTGTCCCTCAGCCAGACCCTGGAATCAAATCAAGAATATTTTTTAACATGTTCATCCATTACAGAGACTGCTTTCACACACATGCATACATATATACATATATTTTCTGATAGCTAAAGACATACAAGTTAAACTTTTCACACTTTGAGATGCTTTTCTGAAATAACAGGTCAAGTTAGGTGCCTCTTTTCCCTTGATATCACTGAAAGACTCTGAAATCTCAGACAAGAGCACTGAATGACCACTTAAAGCCGTAGTGCAATCTTCATCCTGTCCACCACACACAAGACGAGCCATTTACTGTGACAGATCTAAAGAAACAACGGTGGTCTGCAAAGTGTCTACATTAAAGAAAGACTTCATGGACAAAGTGATCCAAAACAAGCACATTTTAAAGATGAATTGGAGGGGTGATGGTGCAATTTAGTGAAGGTCTATCTTTAAAAGACGTCTCTGTGAAAGAACAGCAACAGAGAATCGACTGAAAGACAAGAGTTCATTCACAGACCTCATAATTTGTAATTTGTTTTATTTTTTCCACCCTCAGTAAAAATTGATGGCCGAATTTAATTCATGTTAGAACATCCAAAATTTCTGAAAATTCATTAGGTTTTCACAATGTACTTTTATTGACATGAGCTTGCACACCGTCAGTCAATTATTACAATAATTAATTATAAATTCAGTATCAGTTTGTAAAATTAAATGGGTTTAACTAATAGCAAATGACAGGCTACTTCATTCGGCCACCGTTTCATCTACTTTTAATAGTTTAAAACTAGTTTAGTTTAAAAATAATTAAAAACTGTATCTTTTAGGAAAATATAATGTCAGTAACTACATATCACATAATGAATTGCATCTATAGTAGGAATTGTATTCCATCCATCCAAGTGTTGCTTTTTGGTGCTTCTATTAATGCAGCAACATACCGGTTAAGTAAGTAAGTAAATAAATAAATAATGTGTATTTAATCTAAAAAATACTATCACATAATGAATTGTGATGCTATATTAACAAAAGTAGTACAAAAGAGTTCCATGGCACTACTAAAATGTACTAAATCCAACCAATCAAACAAACAAACAAACAAAACAAAAAGAAGAGAAGTTAGAAAAATAAAAATTATTATTAAAAAATGTGTTCCATCATGCATCGCTACATAGAGTTTTTTAACTGATTGACTGTTCTGGCTGGTTTAAATCGCTCAGCATCCGACGAGGTCATAAAAGTAGAAGAACTGTTTTTCTCTTCCATGTCCGTACGATGGATCCCATCTGGAACTAGTGAGGCATAGAAGCCTGAACACACAGACTGTATCATCTCTACTGTACTGTTCCTTCACATGCATTAAACATGATCAGGCACCTGTGAAAATCGAAACCTTACAAAGCCTCATTTTTTTTTAATTGCTCTTTCATGTGTGAATTAAACATGATCTGGCAACCCTTCCAATATATCAGTCACATTCATGCAGGGATACTGGTATCTGGCAACTCTGCCCATGCTCTCATTATAATCACGGTACAGTCAGGGTAACTGAGTCAGTTATAGGCAAACTCTGTCTGCCTGACAGAATGTGATGCTAAAACTGTTTGAGGGCTTCTTAATGAGACATTTTGAGACATCCGGAGAGAATCGCTACACAAAAAGCTTTAAACTCCTGTCTTCTGGCAGTGAGCTAAACTTATTTTTCATTTGTTCTGTACCGGATTCTTCATCCACCCTCCAAAAATGTCCTCACTGGAGCCTCTCTCGTCTTCTGATCTTCTGTTTTTGATACTATTAATACTTTATAGAAGTGATGAGAAGACAGTGAAGGCGTGTTTACTGTGTGTGTGGACACGAAGACAGCAGACACGCTGTCAGACCTCTTCCAACCCCACACTTCCAAACATTTCATAATCCTCTTCACCAGCTACACTTTCTACTCTTCATCATTTTGTTATTTTGTTATCTAATGCAACGACATTCACACATTAAGCGTTGACTTAAGTGTCCAAATACTTTATGGGGCCACTGTAACCTTCTCCATATTTATACGTACTATTAACTTCTCGTTGTTTCTTCTCTCTCTAATGTGAGCACAGATGCAGGATCACACATCTGGCAGGCTGAGATTAATGATGCGATTGTGCTGACATACACACACAGGTGGCCGTCATCAGCTTTTACCAACATGATCAGATCTGCATCACTCGCTCCCTGTCCATCATATCTCATCCCTCTCCATTCCTTCTCTCTCAACTCTATTCGTTTGTTCTACTTTGCGCATTATGTAAAATTTGAGGTGCAAGATATACTAATGCACTAAAAATGAATATTATTACTTGAGAAATATTACATTGTTTATTATTAAGTATTTGCAGTATTTGACTATTTAAATAATACATTTTCAAGAGTCGTTTTTTACATTGCTTAACAGCATAAATCTGTGAATTGTGAAAATAAATAAAAAAGTAAACAATTAAAAAGTATGAACACTGTTTAAACATGCAAACTGTGAAACAGGCAAGATTCAATTAGTTAAAATGTATAAGATTTAAACCAGCTGTAGTTATAGACGACACCTATCTTCATGTGACTAGATTTTAATTCATTAGCTAATTAGCTTGATTTGAAAGGGTTAAAAAGCAAAGTTAAATTACTGGGTACGAGTAACATTAAAATCTTATTTGCAGTAAAAACCATCTCCAAATTCACAATAAAACATGCATTATGGGAAATGCAGTATTTGCCCCTAATGTGCTCTCGCTCATATCAGCTTGTCACAAGCCAGTAAGCAAATGCTCCATTCAACTCAGTGTAAATGTATTAAGTTTCTCCTCCTTCACTGCATATTAGAAAAAATGACTTATTTTCGGAGGCAAGTATAGAGATGGGCTGATGCAAAAAGCTGCCAACTTCATTTGCAGGCAAACTTGTGAGGCAAATCAGGTTAGAAGAGAGAGGCGATAACAAAAAGGTGTTATAAAAATGTCTGCCTTGATGAATGACCCTTTAAACATGGAGGCACAGGCTCTGGTGCTATCAGACTGCCTAAGACAGGCATGAGCTGCCAGCAATACATCTATCTCATGTTTACTTCTACACTTCAAACGGCCTAAAGCAGCCTATACAGCTGAGCTAGTCCTATTAGACCTATCCTAACTCTTCAAGTGATCAGTTAATAGTTAGGACAGACCTCTGTAACATTTAGATCTCCTTCAGGCTTGGTGAGGAGCTGCATTATCCTATTTCTGGCATTCACGATGGAAATTGTGAATACATAAATTGGACAAAATAGACACTATACAACATGCACATCGATTTGTTATTTTGTCATCTCCGAATAATAAATCAGATGTATGACAGACATAACTATGAGTCATTCTTTATGAATGAGAGTCTCTTCTTTAAAAGTGCAGTCTTGTCCCTTTTTAAAGATGCCTTCAATCCAGGTGATTGAAAATTTGGATACAGAGAGTGTCCCTTCCTCTCTAATTCACTGATGTCTCTTGTTGCCAGAGCCATCCATTAAGACTGTGTCTGAATACACAATAATGTGCCAAATATGATTCATACTTATACTCAAGCAAAGTTCTCTGCTGATTATTCATACAGTACTCTCCTTTGATAGCCTGCCTAAGAGTATTCCTACATCAGTGAGCAAAGAGCTGTTCAGAATAACTGATCCCAGACCAGATTCCATATTAGAATTCAGAATAAGATGTTTACAAAGAACATGCCATCACTGCTTTGCAAGCATCACAAATAATCTCAAAGTATAATCATACTACAGTAGTTACTACATGCAAACTATATCTCTCATCTGGGAGAGAAAATATTTTAAATAGTTATTTTTCATAAAACACAGATTTCTCAAATTAAAGGAACAGATTGCCCAAAAATGCAAAATTGCCATAAACTTTCCTCACCCTTCTTTTCGGTCTTTTGATCACACAAAGGTTCACCAATTTAAAATTTAAAATAACTGAGAATCAGATCGGCATATTAGAATGATTTCTGAAGGATCATGTGACACTGAAGACTGGAGTAATGATGCTGAAAATTCAGCTTTGCATCACAGGAATAAATTACATTTTAAAATATACCAAAATAGAAAACAGTTATTTTAAGTTATTTTATAACTACTCTTTTCACTGCATGTTTGATCAAATAAATGCAGCCTTGGTGAGCATAAGAGATTTCATTTGTAAACATGAAAAAGTCGTAGTTATTCCATACTTCTGGCTGGCAGAGTATATACTGTAGCTCAATATCTAATTTTATGGTACTTTTTAATGCTTTAAAACTTCAGTCCGCATTCATTTTAATTGCAAGGACAAGTGCGGCCAGAACATTCTTTAAAAATACATCAAGCTTGTGTTTCACAGAAGAAAGGATTGGTTTGGAATGATATAAGGGTGAGTAAATGATGACAGAATTGTCATTTTTGGAGGGTGAATGATCCCTTTAATGAAAACAAATCACAAAGTGAAGCTGGAACTCATACAAGGCAGCTACTTCAAAGCCACAATTTGTAGGAAATACATTTAGAGGAAAAATAAATGACCTTATCAAAAGTTCATTTAATTTCTTTCTATTGTTGGCAGCCTCTTTCCTCTAGCGCTATTCAAACAAAATAACAGAGCCACAACGATGCCAATGTGCGCTTTCCCAATCGTAAAACTACCCTATTACAGCATCTGTACCTTAAAAACAGAGAAAAATAAGACCACACACACACAAAAAAATGTCTCTTTAATTTCAAATGACAAGGAAACAATCTAACAGACGCAATTTCAATGTTGGTGACCTTAAGTGAAAAGGAGTTCTATTGAAGCGAGTTTCTATTAAAGTATTATTAGAACAGATCATGTATGGGGACTGCAGAGATAACTCGAGGTTAGCATACTTTTTAAAAATCTTGAGTACGACTTGCTACTGACTCAAAGGTCTTTGCATATACCTACCAATAAAGGTTTAGACAGTGAAAGATAATTGGTTTTATTGTCATGGGGGGTTGATCTTTTGTGGCCCACTGTGTGGAGAGATTTTTCAAGAAGCACTTCTTATCTCACATGACCTTTTCTAAACAAAATGCCAGCATGTCATCGTGACACTGACCTGCTTCCTTTAATAAGCACAGAGGCACTTCAATTAGTTATTCAAATGTGTTTAAGAAATAAAACAATATGGAAAAAAGACAGGGCACTAGCAAAAACACTATTTTAAGTGTTATTCATTCCACATCATTCTTGGGCTTACTGTGCATGCAGAGGCAAAAACAAATTTTATAGCTGCACGGCTGTGGTAATTACTGCAGAGAGGCTTGATCTTACATACTTATACAAATTTAGTATACTAAAAAGTAAGCAAAAGATATTTGAGAGCTACAGCAGAGAGAAAGACTTTCAGCAAAGTCTCCCATAAAGATGGCTTCATTCATTAAATGTAGCAAACAAATCAGCATCAATATTCTTTTATCTACTCTGTAGAGAGAAAAAAGAAAGCCATATTGAAAGTTTAATTTTTCTTGATGTCAATCACTCAAGCTCAAGACTTCTTACCTCGTACTCCTCTTTAAAGCCGTAACCCTGCCCACACTTCATCTGGGTGATGTGTTGGAGCAAGTCTGCCACTCTGATGGCCGGTTGGAACTGGCCGGCCTGGTAGGACATCTCCACCGACTCACAGCCTCCATATGGGTACGTCTGGATGGTCATCGAGGGCTGGGACATCTCACTGTGGCTGCCATCTGTGGAGGAACAATTCACAATCCTTGAGTACCCATCACAATGTTCAATTGCCAGCTCGAAGGTTGCTGGTTTGACACCAAACAAAGCAAGCAAGGCATCAACCCTAGATTGTACTTTCCTATATTTATGACATAAAAGTAATGGAAAGAAACTCTACCAGTCCTGGTTATTTTATGTTATGAAGCAAAATGTATCACTCTATAGCATAAAGTTACCATTGGACAGCATGTTTAATTTACAGTTTACCTAGAAAAGGCATAATTAATTTCTACAACCTGTTGGATACACAATCTCCCACGTATGTTACAATCTATCAATGTAAAACCCTCAGGCAAAAATGGAAACACTAGAAGATTGTGCGCTTTTAATCAATAATTTACAACATAGGCAGGTTGAACTGCTATAATGAACAGTGCATATCTATTTCCGACCATCTAAAGATTAAATTGGATTCTTCTAAATTTTCCCTACTGCTAGTAATATTATAAACATTTAAATGACAAACCCAGACCCCCAAAAAAAATAAAAAATAATGTGTAAATGCACATTTTAAATGTGTTACAAATTTAATGACCACCCCACCCCCCTAATATATAATACTAGTCAAAAGTTTAGAATAATTAAAATTATAAATGTGGTTGAGAGAATATTGTCTATAGTGTATATGAACTACCATTTAAAACTTTACACATTTAAAATGTTCACCAGGGCTGCATTTATATAAAAATACACAAAAAAATGTAATATTGTGTAATATTATTGCAATTTAAAATAACTGTTTTGTATTTTAATATATTTTAGTTATTTATTCCTGTGATACAAAGCTGAATTTTTAGTAGCCGTTACTCCAGTCTTCAGTGTCACATGATCCTTCAGAATTCA